GTGGCCGAAAACGCCCCCCCCGCGGGGGGGGGGGGGGGGGGGGGGGAGCCAAGAGTCGTCGTTGCGCAATGAGCTCACGGGCAGAAACGCCGAGCGTAAAGCCGCGAACCGCCCGTTTAATCGCTAAACTGCACACCCACACTTGCACACGTATTTATACTGACCTGAGGGGCTCGGAGTCCTGGCCGTCACGAGGTTTGCTTTTAGGCTTGTTGGCCCTCGGGCAACCCGAGAGGCTCCTGTGAGACGAGTAGTTCCCAGTGACGTGGCCGGACCCGTCGCATCCTGGCGTCGGGCACTTGAGCTCCTGCGAGTGAGCCTGAATCTGCGAACGATCGGCTCGCGGGCATCCGGACAGACTGTAAAATACGGCGCACGAAATGTTGCGTTAATATCGTTCGGGCCGAGGCCACCTCCTGATCGCTAATGTCGGCCCTTTACCAATGCCTTTACCACCGATCTCAAAGGTGGCATTGCACGCGATGCACTCAGAGACGTATGCATATCGACTCGGCGTGAGTTTAACAACTCGGAACGATCGATCGAGTTTGTTGCCGCCTTTCAATATCGTGCATGCATGTGATTGGGTACGATAAATATATAAAGCGCATCGAGATTATTTGGCAACTCTGTAAGATTAACGGCATTTTACGTCAATACATGTTTGTGTATGGTACTGGCGAAGACAAAACTAACGAGCCGAGAACCTCTGATTGCATAAGACTGTGCAACGTTAATACATCATTCATATTACAGCAGGCAGCGTACATAATTTCATTGTTTTGTGAGCGATCACACACCTCATAAACGTCCAAAAATGATATTACATGGCATGCATATCACGCGACGTTGCCAAATGGCGTCCTCACTCGGGACCTCGCCATTTATGCATTAATAAATGCATAAAAAGATTTGCTTTTGGAGACATTGATGCCATACCTATATTAAGTGCGAAAATTTTATTTGTTTGTAAAATTACCTCGCGCGCGCGCTCACACACACACACACACACACACACACACACACACACACAATAAAAGTCACATTAAAAAAAATACATAATATTAATGGTTGACAAAATATACATCTTTCCAATTTACACAATAGCGTTCATCTGTCTCTGTCTCTCTCTCTCTCTCTCTCTCTCTCTCTCTCTCTCTCTCTCTCTCTCTCTCTCTAATTATGCAAGAGCGATATTCGAAATAGCTTGCTATTATATTGCGATATATGAACAAGGAGTGATACAAATTCCCACTTCATCGGCTTAGCTAGAATGACCGACATCAAGATGAGCATGTATAATAATAGTAATATATCGATATTATTTGTATTTAAAATGCATAAGATATAAAATGCAAAAAAAACGTAGCCATATGTACCCCAATATACGTATTCATATGCTTATGCGCGATCGTGTGCGTATGCGTGCGCGCCTGGATGAAAATGGCAACGCCGTGTTTCATTCGGCTCACTCATGAGGTGTCGCTCGTAAGATTGAATATTTTATATGTATTCCAATGAATTATTACGAATAAGAGAACTTCAATCTTAATCTAGAAACATCGAAGGGAGAGCGGGGAACACACTCATACCTGACCCCAATGAAACTCGCCGATTGCCAATTATTTCATTTGTCGAACTTCATTTCATTATGTTTTTCAAAGTAAAAGATTTCAGTCGTAAAAATAATAATTTATCATTTGCCTTATCATTCGTACGAATATTATTCAATGTTCTCAAACATTATTTTTAGATTGATATTTTCAGAAGATTCGTTTAAATTATAAAATAATGTTTTTATACATCCTTCAAAAAAGTCAAAGTTTTGTTAATATATTTTATTTTAGATCAATTTTTTCTGTATTAATTGTCCATATTATAATTATTTTTATAATACAAAATTTTTCAATATTTTTTAGTTATTCGAATTCATTTTTGAAGCACATAATTATTAACCGCAACAAATGTCCATTTTTAATTTGAATGAAAATATCATTCTTTGAAAAAAAGAATATTAATACATATTTAAAAAGAAATTAAATGATTTTCTTAGCAACGTTAGGAGGTTTTATATAATGTATTTGTTCGTCGGCGTTAAAAAGAAAAAAAAATTAAAGTATTTACTTATGATGATGTTTTAGTGACTCAAGTCTTTTAATTAAAAGAAATTTCGATCGTCTTTTGTATGCAATTCTTCGACATAGCAACAATGCGGTCATTGATCTTAGTTCACTACAAAAATGCCCGCCGAAGGCTGGCAAACTCATAAATAATTCTTGTATAAAGCATTTTTTTTTAATAAGGTGTATAATAATTATTATTTTATGATTTTGTCTTCCCTTTTCGTAGGGGTCGGGTCTACAATTGGAAAAACATATCATTCAACATGAAAACTCATCTACACATGTGATACAATTGAAATTGACAGTAAATATGAAAGTAAATATAAATAAAAATTGATAAATTACAGACAATGGTAGCATACTGTATTAAATGTAAAAATATAAGGATTATGTTTGACTTTGTGTTATATATATATATATATATATATATATATTCAGACTTATATATATGCAGACTTCTTAACTTTAGAAATACATGTAAAAATTAAATAATAATGCATATTGTAAATGGATGAAAAACATAAACTTTATTACATATATGACTTACTGATTTATTCGAGTTCATTGCAGGTATTTATAGAATTACGATACCCGTTACACCATTATAATACTCTAAATTTAAGTTTTGACTCTAATAATTTTCTTTAAGATATAATTTCAAGTATATGTCCACACATATTTAATTTACCAACTTATTTCGTCAACCATACAATCAAATAAATATAAATGTTTACTGTTCACGTACGCATCAGATTGCCGATGTAGTGAAGGTGCAAGAATGAACAGTGAGAGTGAGAGTGAGAGTGAGAGTGAGACAGAGGGGGGGGGTGAGAGCGCGAGAGAGGGGGTTGGGAGAGAAAAGGAGTGATAGTAGTGAGCGAATAAATGATTAGAAAATAAAAAAATGAGAACGAACGTGTATATATGGCAAAAATGTGTATGGATCGGAAGTGAACTTGCTGCCTTGCCTTCTGTGGGTAGCGTAGTTTCCCGAGATATGACCCATGCCATCGCAGGAGGACGTGGGACACTGTATCAGCTCCTTGCCGTCGCGACCACGAGGGATAGGTCGAGGCGAGGTCCCCGCGAAATTCAATGATTGTCTTCTCATATTCATACTGCATCGAACACACATCATCAATCAGCACAGGGTATTCCATTGCCCGCATTCGTACGCAAAAGTGATTAATAGCGAGCCGATTGTTCTCCATGCATGGGGTAGCTTCGTTATAATTGAATCTGACAATGGGTTGGAGGATCTGTGTTGTTGTTTTCCAACAAACGAGCCATAAAGAACAGTACGTGATAATCGGGGGACATACGAGTGATCATTAATATTTCATAGATTTTAGGAGCCAGATAAACAGTTTTGAATGTTAGACCGATCTGGGGATTCCTGTAGGTTAATATAAACTTGTAATCTTCTTATAATCTTCTTATAATCTTTTTTTTCATTAAAACTTAATAACTCTGCATGCCTACGCTTAAATATATACAATTTAAGACTAGCAATAGACGAATCATTTAAATTGTAGCTCAATCAACGATTTATTAAAAATTGATTATGAAAGTTGTTTATCTGCAATATTCAATAAAAAATATGGCCCCGTCTTGGAAGACAAAATCTTGCGAGCCAGCTTAATATCCTCAATCGGCTTGAAAATTCTAAGAGCAATAGCTGCTTTACGAATATATGCGACTGTTTACGAACACATGCGTTTATCTACGCGCAGCATGCACACTCGCACGCAGAGAGGCCCGTAAACTCATAATCGTACTCGATTGGCGACAGCGATCCGACAAAGTTTAATTGCATTTCCTGATTTAACGGAACATATGAAAAACGTCGAAAGTACACTTGAACGGGACGCGGGAGCTTGGAGAGCGGAAGGACCGTGGATGAAGTCAAAACGAAGGATGGGAAAAGGAAGAAGAGATACGTGGCTGGGTTCTTGCTCTTCGATTGGATATACCGCGAGGTTACGAGAAAGCCCGGAGAACTCAATGGCCCTTGAGTGGCCGCGATATTGCCGGAGCCATGGACTTGAGTGCAATCACGCAAGCTGCGTACCAAAGTCTCTCTGTCCGCGCGTCTAACTATTTTCGCGGAAGTGAGTAAGTGGAACGCAAAGGCGGGCGGGGCGGGAGGGGTGGAAAGGAAACCGAACGCAAGCGCATGGCTACTGATCGCTTCGATGCTTATGTCCAGGCTAATATTCCATTGTGTATCACGCGAGTTTGAGCTTACTAAAGTTTTCATACGAGACACGCTTTTTTCGCCGCCTGACATCGAAATAGTCTTCTATAATTGAGCTGGCTTTTTTCCCCTCTTATATGCTTTTTATTCTTTTCACGGAGTTGCTAAATTGCAAAACTTCTGGAAAAAAGGCTGAATTATGTTATGCGGTTAAATGGGAGCAAATCCAGCTTGAATCACGGTATTTTATTTTCAGCGATAGCATTGAAAATGGAATTTCGATACACTTACAATTAATTAGTTTATAATTAATTTTACTCCATTTACCAAAATTTGCCGATGTTATTTAAGAAACGTACAATTTATACAAATTACAATTTGTACATATTAACTTTCCAATCCAAGTATCAATTATATTGAGAATTAACCTATCTATGTAAATTAATTTCACATTATGTTAATTTATTGTTCTCTGAAAATATGTTCATCTACGCGACGAAAGGAAATTTTGCAGAAATATGTTATTACAACGTTAATTTCGCGTAACCGCTATTAATGTCCAAAGACAGCAGTAATTACATTGATTTACACTTATGTCTAGAGCTAAATTGATAGTTATATGTTTCAGACTAGTGCTGCAGTAACAATTCGTATAAAAGTTCTTTCTTAACGTATATCGTAATACGCTCAGATCGAATGAGAAACCAATAGACTATTTATTCGCTTGTCTATATACCACGATGTAATAATATTGGTTGTGATCATTAATAACTCTGAAGTATCGCTATTTACTGGATATGGACAAGATTGGAGGTTATGTACGATTCCTTTACCACGTTACATAGCCCCGGTCCTCCATTATTATATGATCGAAAAGAAAAGCTTACAAAAATGAGCATAAGAGTGACCGACCCATGTATTTTACAATCGATTAGTCGACGAGACTTTATTCGCATTTCTCATTCCATCAAGTTTTGACATAATTCACCAATGACGTAAAGGAAATTTTATCCTTGTACTACTACGAAAGATTTTTAATTACCTTACATATATTTATGTTACACATAGTTACATTTTTTTTTTTTTTTTTTTTTTTATCACAGTTACATATATTTTTGAAAAACATTTTAATGAATTAAAAGTTGGCAAAACCACGTAAGTAAAGACTAATAATCAATATGTTGGTCGAGCTATTTTAAAAGAAAAATTCCTGATACGTTCCGTATGATATTCTGTAAGTAATTAGTTCGTAGCAAAATGTTTTAATAATAATGTTTATTTAGCTCATTGCTCTTAGTTAGTAATAATGGAAGTTTGGAAGATTCATAATAGATTAGTAGACGACGAATTTATTGAAATTCGATTAAATAAAATTCAATTAAAATACCCTTGAGTTTTAATATAAATCTATTATATTTGCAACTATTGAATATGAATACGTAGGATGAATGAGGAAACTTTTAATCGCGAATAATTGCCATATGTGCTACAATTATGCCAACCATTAAAATAGCGACTATTAGCTATATAATTTAAAACAACCGGCTTCGATAAGCGCATACGAAAATACGTACATTTTGATCGCTCGCGTGTTGAACCGCACGAACGTGTACCGAACATCAAAACGTTCTGATCGCGTTATTCGTTTCCTTAGAGAATTGAGCTAAGTCCCGTACCAAATGCATGGTAAATTTATAGCATTGGAGCGCTATCGACCTCCGATAAATACAATCCGCATTTCATATAGAATAAGAAGAAAGGTTAACGTGTATAACGGCATAAAGAGAGAGAGAAGGAAGATCACTTTTTGGGCAATGTAAAATCGAGGTATCACGGGCCCTAACTCTTTCGGGAGAACTCTCTTTCTCTTTCGTCTCATAATACAGTGCGATAGCAACTGATTATACCTCAACTCCGATGCAACCTTCTTTGACCTTACTCACCCTCTCTTTCTTCGCCTCTCAGTTCCACCTGTCTTTATCTATCTTTGTATTAAACCTAATGATAGAATGAGGGATGGGCAGATAGATTGATAGATAGGTAGATAAATAGAGAGAGAGGGGGGGGGGAGATTTGGCTAGACGAGCGAGGTACGAAAGAGAAGGAAAGATATAAAACCCCTTCAAATACGGGCTATACTGTCTTCGTTTCTCCCTCGTTCTTTTGCCAAGGCGTGAGCCAGCACTGTCGAGCTTTACGTCAATTAGAATAAGGTTGGCACTTTCACCTACGAAGAGTAATTACTTTAATTAACAAAATGAAGGTAGGAGGTATGCGCGAGAAGCACTCCGAAGGGGCGGGAGAGGAGCAGCTTAGCTTATCTGAGGCACTCTCCTCGACTCGATTGCTCACGAACCGCGAGAATCAGAACGACGGGATTTGCCTTGTACGCTACTGCCAGGGGTACGCTAATACAACTGTATACGTGTGTAACTATATGTGCCTGTTCATACTCTGACGCTGCGGCGCCGTGGTATTATGTGGCTGTAGATGCAGCGAAGCACGGAAGCTTCGGCGGCAGCCTCTTATTTCCATTCGATACACATACGGGCTGTCGCAGAAATAGGAAAATATACTTGATTTTTGTGGCAAGCAAGCAAAATGTATTTATACGTTTATGAGTAAACCACATTTCTCGCGGTTTTTTCAAATAAGACATTGTTTATTTTCTAGTTAGATAATATGGATTTGTGCCACTGTAAGGTACGTAGGATTACGCGATTGGATAAGTCTCTATTCAATTATTGATTAAGTCGCTTATAGTTATTTGCTTCACTAAGAGTGGAGTGTCGAAACAAAAATCCGTGAATTTTAAATCAGATAGCCATAGAAAAATATCTGTAGTTGCATTTCAATGCTCACGTAGCTGGTAGACAGAGACATTACTTATTTTCATTTGTCACCTAATTTACATGAATGAAAAAAAAGTAACTAAGGCTAAAGTCTATTTGGTTATTAAAAAGTTGTCAAACGAGTTTCAAATTTTGTCGCAGTTTGCATCAAATGATTCGAGTCAATAAGCGCACTTTGGTAATAAAATTCTCCATTCTTCTAACTTTTATATTTTATATCGAAGGAGCATTCGGGTTGAAAAATCCGCTATAACAGCAATTATACCAATTAAAAAGGCAAGAAAAGGGAAAATGTCATAAGGTCTGATAACCCGTAACGTGAAAGCGATACAGGCACTTATGAGATTCGAGGAAAGAGCTGGAGTTGGATCGGGTCACGAGAAACAAAAGCTAATCATCCGCGGAATGGTGAGAAACGCAAAGCCCCGAGGGTAAGTTTGCGTGACTCGCGAAGGCCAAGGGCTGTGTTCGCTTACCTTTCGTCCTTGCCCGCGGGCTTATCGAGTGGGCCGATCGTGTGCTGGGGCGGTGGCATGCTGTAGCAGGGCGTGGGCGTGTAACCGGCTGGAATTTGGTAGCCGGAGGTGACAGGACCGCCGGGGTAGCTGCCGCCGCATTGATAGCCCGGCGTCGGATACGGAGTATACGTGTTCCCGGGATACTCTGCCTGGACCCCAGTCATCCCGTATCCTGGATGTGGACTCATCGGTCCATAGCCTGCACAACCAAAAGTTACCTCGTTTTTACATCGCCTATTACTATTTATTTCTATAGACACGATCATTTTTCGGCTTTGCTCTTCGAGTTATACAGAAGTTTTTCTCATTTATTTGCCCTTTTGTTTTTTTACTAGATCCTCGTAAGATTTATTAGATCTCAGCTGTGATGTATATTGCTTGTGGTTCTGCTACAATCCTCAACATTGATAATGCATCGAGACCATTGTAAAAGCAATTTTTTGGTAATGGATGCATAAATTTGATAAATTGTAACTTTGCTTTTGGCAATGAAAAGTTTCTTATTCAATTAGGCTGTACCTGACACTATTCAAAGAAACTTTAGATTACTACTTCAAAGAAATTTTAGAATTATTTTAACATTCAATTATTGATTTTTCCAACAACTCTGCAACTAAAATTTATTTTAACTAATTAGAATTAAACGTAGATTGGTCAATTGCGAATTCCCATAATAAAAAATTACTCCGGTACGTATTTCAATAAAATAATACCAAAAATTCTTCATAAATTATGTATTATTACATTTATAGATCTCTCGGTCTCCCCCCCCCTCCCCCCGCGCTCTGATATATTTTATATATCGATCAAAATACTCTGTTCATTTGTCGTTTAAAAAAATAAATATAACATTGACAATACTCTTTGTCACTGAAATAAATATAAGCTTTCGTGCATATATTTACTACAAATGAAACATTTATCCTTACAATAAGTTTTATAATACACTGGACTAAGATATCTCTTCCGTTACTAATAAATTGTTAAACTTTTTTATTTTATCATGTTGTACTTACATTGATCATGATATTAATATTAAATTGGTACCATACGCCTGAATTTATTAAGTAGATGATAAAATTTTTCAATCGTTTAAATTAATTGCGCGCGCGCGCGCACACACATTCTTCTTTGTTAAATTTTAAAAATGAAATGTTTTTTTCTTGGTAAAGGACATTGATAATAACTTCTATTAAGTTTTGTGCAGCGACTCGCAGTTCTTTCATCTGCAGTTCGATTGGTGAATTAAACGTTATCCAGTCCGCAAAAAAATGACCCTATAAAAATTTGATATTGCGTCCAGATGATAGCATTTAAAAAACATGATGTGAGTAGATCTCGATGGACCGAATGGTATATAGAATACGTAGCTGCATATCTGCATTCGTCTGTTTCATTTCTATTCAATGAGTATTCCCAATCGTCGCACCAGCCAGAGATAGAGAGAGTGAGTCACGGGACCGAAGGTCTTTGGCATTGTCGACCATGCTCATGCGAAACATTGATAATTAACTGTAGATGCTGTGTGCTCACGCTCATGAACGAATCGTTTCGTAGAGAATGTATAGAAAAAGAAAGAGGGAAAAAATTGTGTATATATATATAGAAAATGAAAGAGAGTGGGAGTGAGTCGAGTGCGACGGAGGGGCGATAAGGGGAAAACTATATACAAAGTACCAAGGTATACAGGAGAAGCTGCACTGGTATAATAATATGGATCGGGGTAAAGCGAGAAGGAGAAAAAAGTGGAGGTCGGGTGAATTTTTATTTGGCAGTTGTTACCGTACACGTACGCCTCGGGGGAAAACAAGCGGCGTTCTTTGTTCTACTCCGATATATCGCGTTGTTTTATAGACATGTTCACTACTCTCTCTCTCTCTCTCTCTCTCTCTCTCTCTCTCTCTCTCTCTCTCACTTACTCACTCTCTCTCTCTCTCCTTCTCTCTCCTGTTCCGTTAGTAAGCGAATTGTTGCAGTCTGTCGTGCAACATAATGCTCTACTAGCCGACGATGTATTCATTTCAACTGGAACGTGTTTCGAGTAAATTTATGGCACTGGCGCGAAGAAAAATCCACCGACCAACGTGACAGTGTTTCTTGGCCGGGAATATTTTTCATCATCTCTTCCAGCTACTGCTGCCTCTCTCTCTCTCTCTCTCTCTCTCTCTTATGTTGCACGTAAACGTAGACCAATATAATGTGCTTGCATGGATACTAGGGTGACTAGGGTGAATAAAGTGGACCTTATTCAGTCTTAGTTGGAAATATGCACGCTTTTTAGGATTTCATTTTTCACTTAGTCATTTTCACTTATTAACTGTTCATGATTATAACCAAAATACATATTTTTTATTCTCTGGAATTAAACTAATTCAAACAGTTGAATCGCATACACCTTCTAGAATGTAATTTAATAACCTATTATTTATTTATAATACTTCTATTATAGTGGTTGCTGGAACGCAAATCCTTCATTAAAAAGAATTTTTTTTATTATATATAATATCCAATTCAACGCATATTTAACATATATGATTCATTAATGCTTATATTTATTTATTTATTTATTTTTTATTTATTTTTTTTTTTTTTTTTGACTAATAAGACTCTTTCACAATAATGAAAGAAATCGTTTCATCGATCGATTCATTATTTACGAGGTCGTTTCCTTTGCAGTACAAAGACTCACTTACGCCTATCCAGTTGGGAAGCGTTTGTTTAATAAAATCTTCCCTACATTGTATTTTTATAAAAATTACAAGATCCACATTGGTTTTAAATAAAATTGCAAAATGCATTGAACCAATACGAGGTATTGTAATCTTGACCCGAGAGAACGGCGCAACAACGACATTATAATCAATCGGGAAACACGTTCAACGGGCTAACTGACCGATAGAGCTGTAGGAGGAAAATTTTCCTTAGAGAAAGTAGCAGATTTGACGGGGACTCACCAGTCGGATCTCTATAGGCGTCGATGTAATGAGAACCCCCGCTGTCCGGAGTGCTCTCACGGCTGTAGGCTGCGGCGTGAACACCCGGGGGTGGGAAGCCAGGCACGGGCCTGATGCCCCCGCTGAAGTTCACCGGCTCGTTTGCCGTGGAGAAGTCGACGGGCTCGGTCTGTTCCTCGATCGGCCGGGGTGCGGTGAAGCCAGGGCCCACCGGTACCGGCACGCCATCTCCGTGGGTCGTTGAGTACTGTGGGCTCGGCGCCCCACTGTACAAGTGTGAGTTTCATTATTCGCGTTTATTTTGTAATACGAGCATGCTTATCAAGGGCCAAGAAACTTGAAACTTCTTAGACGCGGTCTGGCGATCGTTCGAACGATGATTTATTTGGCCCGTACGATGCATTGCGTTTACGCCAATAATCACGTGTAATGGTCGACGCTTAATCTCGCGTTTTGAATTTCTAATGGAATTTCTTAATGGCATTGGCTTATTAAAAGCCTTATAATAACAAATTACATTAATCGCACGAACGTTGAAGGGAATTTTCTTTTACGAAAAGCCACATAAAAGTTGCCGACTTTTAATTTGTTATTATAAATTGCGTTCACGTTATTTTATCTATTGGCGTAAAATCGATTTAGTCTGAAAATTTAAACGCTGATAAAACTAACGGTCAACGATTTAATCGATGTGTAAGATAATATCATGTAATTAACGTGTGTTGTTTCAACTTTACAGTTATCGGGCCGTTTAAGAAAAAATACGCGATTCATACTCGGATATACAATTATATGATCCAGTTTTTTAAGAGTCTAAAACAATGAACCTAATTGCATGACTGCCGGAAGGATATAATTTAAATAGTTTATAGTATAAGAACGCCTTGAGTACACAGCTTCGTAGCTGCGAAAAGACGAATGACTTTTCGAGTCATGTATAGGCAATTCCTTACAGTCTAACAACAGAAAATTATTGAGCTTATGTAGGCATGAATGATCGTTGACCGAATATCGCTGCGAAGCCTCGAAATCATACAAAGTACTTTTCAGAATGTCTGGATCCCTAAAGCATTACAATGGCCGTCGTGACTATTAATTATCGGGGCAATTAAATATTAAAGTAAACCTGATTTTATAGGTAATATCGGGGGTAAATAGTAAATTAATTAAGATGAGGGATGATTTTGGGGAATACCGGGCGAAGCTTACCTGTGCAGTCTGTTGACGCTGAGGTCGAGGGTTTGGCCTTGGGGACTGGGTACTTGGGGGCTTGCCGTTAGGTGTGGACTGGCTGCAGCTTGGGGGCTACCGCCAACAGTTTGTCCGCCGCCGTATTGCGGACTGAGACTATTCGAGCCATAGGGCGGCGCCTGTCGTATAATAGAATAATTTCAGTTAACACCGCATCGAATAATAATCCTTTCCCGACCGAGATCTGCCCGATGTCACACCCGGAATCGTGGCTTGAATGCATGATTTTCTTAATTTCGCTACCTCGTCACGATAATCAATCGATTATTATTCGCACCCCCCCCTCACACACGCGCGCGCGCATACACATACACACACACGCACTATACTTCAATAGGATATTCTGGATTTTGTTTCTTTAAGCTCACAGAATTAGGTATTCTTTAAAAACGGTCCTCGTAACAGTAAAAACTAGCTAGATAGTCATGCCTCTCCCTTTTCTATTTTTACTTGATTAACCGAAGGCCATTGGAGTTAGTGAATCGAGTGATTAGGTTTTTTTTTTAATTCAATAGAGTAAATTTACCTGAGGACTAGTCGACGTGACACTGGATGTTGATAAATCCATTACTGATCCGCCGGGTGATGTCGGAGGACCGCTGGATTTTTGCATCTGCTGTACTTGAGCAACTGTCACGCATTTCACTGCAAATTAACGAGTATTATCTTTTAAATATGGATCGATATGATGTTCTTATATATGATGGAAAGTTTTGAAAATCAAAACAAACTTCCATTTCCAATAGTTTGATTATTGAAGATTGCTTTATTCTACATTAGATTGAACAAAATTTATTTTCATTATTTCAGATGCGACATACTTTTATCGTCGACTAAGCGCAAATATTTGTACAATGCGTTAATTGGCATATTAATCGTCTAAAATATTAGCGGTGTATTATGATGCAAAATACTTATTGAGCAGTTCTATGAACATAATCATGGACAATTAATCAAATAAATAAAATCATTTCTTTACTTGCCTTTAAGCGAGACTTGCTTTAATTTTTCACAGCTAATAACTTCATTATCGTCTACGTAAAAGAGATCTGTATCTATATGACATAAAGCATGATCATTTCAAAAACGCAAAAAAAAAAGAAGACAAAAACTAAATGTTAAAGTAAGACTCGCTTGATACTTGATACGCGAAGAAGTGGCGCTAAATTGCATCGTCAGATAAAAGTAAATAAGCAATGCTTTCAAATTACATTAAAGCTGTTATTAAAACTTTTTACGCCATTATATGCTTAGAAAATAAAATATTTAAATTAAAATTGTATAGTAAAATTGAGAATCTTTTAAGAGAAATTTGCAGCTCCCGTACATCGATCGTTGCAACTTTTGAAATGCAACCTCCAGAATAGAGCTTCTTTCCTCAAATTAAATATATATTTTCATTACATTTATCTATAATATGTAACTAAAAGTTCTATTGTTCACGGTGATGGTTTACTTTATTTTCTTATTTTTTTGATATTTTTATTTTACACAATGGAACATCGATTCCTAAGATGTTTAACAATGGCTATTGTAAGCCCGTTAATGATCATGTATCGAATCTATTAAAGGTATGGAAATTGAAAGTTAGCTCACCATCTTCGGTTTTCATCATTCCAGCAACGGTTGCAGCGGCCATGGCCATCTGATGCTGTTGAGCAGCGGCGGCAGCTTCCTGATGATAGACCCTTTCCTGTTCTTCTTGCGTCATGCCTGTCTGACCGAGATAATACATGTTAGCCCTGGAGTGCAGTTGTTGTTGCTGTTGCTGCTGCTGCTGTTGTTGTTGCTGCTGCTGCTGTTGCTGCTGCTGCTGCTGTTGTTGCTGCTGTTGCTGCTGCTGTTGCTGCTGTTGAGCTTGCAGTGGAGTACAGGGCTGAGTATCGTACCTATCGTAGGTGGACGCGGTGCCAGGGTCATAGGGTCGATGATTTGCCGCACTTGACACCGCATTCTCGTAACCCCTCGCTGCGGCAATTTCATTGGAGTAAGTGACGATGGGTCTGGCGATGTTCGCCGTGCCTGGATGTTGCATGTAACCGGCGCGCGCGTGCTCGGAGGTTCTTTGGTGTGAGTACATGTCGTCGTTGTTGGTGTTGGCGGCTGCGGCTGCGGCAGCAGCGGCGGCCGCCATCATGGACGACTCATACGGGGATCGCTGGGTCATTTGATGACTCATCCTCGTATCCTCTACCATTGGCATAGGATATGCGACGGCCGGCTGCATCGGCAGCACGTGATGTGCTGTCGGATGTTGTTGTTGTTGTTGCTGCTGCTGCTGCTGCTGCTGCTGCTGTTGGTTCGGATGGTGTATCGTGGCACCTAGAGGCCCGTTTCTCGTAGCACCCATGGCTTCCATCGAGGACATGGACGAGGAATTTGAATCTTGATTTAAATAAGAGTCGTAGGCTGATGCTTGACGGACGTTTGGTGGGGGTGGCGGTGGCGGCGGTGATGTCTGAACCACTCTACAGGATGTCGAGTCTTCGGTTTTCGGGACTAGGAGCTCTTGCGAGGGATTTTGTCGGTTTGAAAGACCGTTGCTGCAGCAGCTTGCAGATGTAGAACCGTTTTCCGTTTTTGGAACGATGACTTTGTTTGGGATGTTGCGCGACTGATTGTTGTCCTCGGGGGTTTTCGGTGGCTTCACGTTAATACCTGCAGCTTTAGTTACGGCGTAATAGTCGTATGTAGGCGATGATATCACTGGCTTGGAGTCCTGTGGCGCGGATGAACCGTATTGTGGGTAGAGTTTACCGTCTAATGGTGGTGGAAGGAGATTCGTACTTATGTACTCTGGTGGTATACCTGACACTGCGTTCCACATCAAAATTATTTTAATATATAACGCGTTTACATAAATCAAGTGTCGTTAGATTTAATTTTAATTTTTCCATCTGAAAGTATTGTTTTGTAGATTAAAATATTTGTGCATTTATAAATTCGACTATTTAGAAAAATATGTGACTTTCATTAATTCTTCCTAATACGGCTCAAAGTACGTTCATTATAAACATTGAAGGAGAATAGAAGAATAGAATTAAGAATCTTCAGAATACTGATTTTGTATCATATATAAGTTGGTCTAAATCTCAGTCAATTAAAGAAATATTTTATTATTATAATTTATATATTACTTTTGTAGTAAGATTAGGCTTAAACTAAGATGAACCAGAAACCAATATAAATTATATAATTAACATTATCATTTAGTATTTCATATTTATAACAAATACTTTTGTATACAAAGAACTTAAAAGCATCATGCAGTAAATTATGTAATAAATAATTCCTCAAACTAAGACTACCTAATATGTTACGAATCTAAACGTAATTACTTTTTAAAGCAATACATACATAAAACTATGTACTATCTAAGAAAAAGTATGAGATTTGAGAATGATCCATTGTGCAGGCTGAATTAAAAAAGAAAATCATCATTCTCATTAAGACTTACCTTGAGTCTTGTGCCGGGCCTCTCGAGCGGCTTGTTTATTGGCCGCGGCAATAGGACATCCAGATAAGCTTCTATGAGTGTTCCGATTGGTGCTGACATGACCTCGGCCGTTGCAACCAGGCGTAGGACATTTCAAAATAGTCTCATGCATCGCCAGAACTGCGAGAACCCAGACACGCGTTTGCAAGGTTACACATGGAGACTTTCGACAATTTCTATTAATATTTCGCGTTCACAATAAGCGGAATCTCTTTTCCTAAATTATTCAATTTATTTGAGTATAATAAGTTTCATCTTTTTAATGATTTCAAATGATTTAATATGATTTATATTTAGAATCCAATTGAATATTCGCTTCAGTTGCTTAAATGCATAAGGAATATTATTGAGTTTATGGAAGACATTGATAATCAAAATAAAATATTGTGAACAATGAAAATATAATTAGACGTAAAATGTTTGTTAAACGAAAATTGTATTAAATAATAAGACGGATAATAAACACAAATTGATCAGAAACGTACATAAGAAATACTGAGCGGGTAGAGAGAGAAAAAAATACGAGAAATAAACATTTAATTGAGAGAAAAAATTATATAATGCAATAAAATATTACGTAAAATTATATATCCTTATATATATATAATACGAAACCTATTTCACAACAGAGTATTTAAATCAATTTGCAACGATTCGATGATGAAGTGTTTTATGTTTCTACTTCTTTTCAAAATTTATATGCAATACTATAATACGGAAACTATAAAGTTCGGTAACGTGAACTAAAAATATTTCGAAACTATTGATTTACTTTAATATTTAAACAATAAGAATAATCACAAGCAATATTGTATTATGATTTTAGTTGTATATACTTGTTGTGTTTTTTTGAGTTGAATATTCATCTTTGAAATTAAATTGGGAACTCTTGTAACAAGAAGAAAATAAAACTCTGAACTGACAGCTTTTACTAAAAATTTGTAGGTATTCTACTTTTAATCGCTTGTAAAATATTGTCTTTTAAATAATTTCCCACGTAAAGGTAATGTAAAGCTTTTTAAATATTAAAAATTGATTTATTTTAATAATGATATGCAAAAAAATATTTTTTAATAATTCATTAAAATCATTAAAAAAATGTGGATGATAGAGAATTTTCGCTCTTCATGTACTTTTATGTTTTGATATTATTCAACTAACAAACAAGCAAATAAGTGAATTGCAAAGTTTTGATGAATTTGTGAGCGCTGTATTATACTCAAATGCAGAGATTCTCACTTTTGATTCTGGCGTGTACACATACCACCACCCGGGGTCTCTTCACCCGTGTCTCAGGGTCTCGAGTTCTTGAAAGTATAATATTTATAATACGACTACATAACCAAATAAAGTGTGGTGATAATTTTCTATTAATTGAAACTACAAAAATAATATGTAAGTAAATGAAATAAAAGTGAACACAGTAAATAAAGCTCTCTACCCCGCTAACAAAAAGCACAAAGAATTTGATTAAAAATAATAAATACGAATAAATAATATAACGGGCACACATAAATACGGGCAAATATACATGAATCTCGTTTTATATGGAAAGAAAGAAGACTACTTTATCATTGTTTTTGTGCATTGCACACATCGACTTATTGCGTAAATAAATCTAATATATATATATATATATTAGATTTACTTAAAAAGTATATTCTATATATAAAAGTATATTTACGTGGTTTAATAATATCTGGTGAATAAATTAAATTTTTAATTAGCTATATTAAGCAATAAGAATTTTTTATAATTAACAATGAAGCCTTGTGCTTTTATACGTACTAATATTAGAAATAGTCTAGTTAAAAATTTATTTTAAATCTAAAAAAGAGATATATGATCTCCATTATGAAATGGGACTTAAATAAACAGTCCCACGTCTCTGGATTATAATGACTATGCAACTAAACTACTTTACGAAAGAACGCAATTGTTACTTGAAGCAATATTGATACTCACTTTCAGGTGTTAATTTATCTTTCCGAGGACAGCCAGATAAACTAAAAATGAAGGAATTAAATACATTTATATAATCATAAATTATATATTTTTAATTTTATTGTTACTTAAAAAACACCGTTATATTGATAGCAATATACTGATTTATTATGCAAAGTAATTTGATCGAATTGCTTAATGATTCTCAACAATTGTATCTAGTCTCAATAGAATAAACTAAACTGGATTCATTTAATATAATTTAAAATGATTATCTTGTATGTATTGTAAATAAAATATAAATTTTTTTGGTTTTAAAAATTTCAGAATATACATTTAATATATTTATAATGAAATATATTCATTAGACATTTATATCAAATAATTAATACAAATCAATCATTTTATCATTTATAATAGAATATTTCTTCACGTATACTATTGTAAAAAATGAAATTTCTTTAAGGTATAGATCACGTTATATATAAAATGTAATTTATGATTTATTTAATAAAAAATGTATGATCACTAATAATACTGAACTACCGGATTCATCATCCAATATATTGAATTATTAGTTAAACAGTAAAGATAGTTATATCTATTTCCACGCGTCATCAATTGGTATTAAACCTAATCGGTATGGAGGAGAGAAATGTGCAGTGCAGGTAGGTAGTTAATTTGCTGATAATTACTTACCTGCGATGGTGCGAGTAGAGTCCGGTCACGTGACCCTGGCCCGAGCAGCCGGGGGTCGGGCACTTGTTGCCCTCTGTAACAAATCAAACCACCCCCGTGGTCTCTGCCTTTAGTCCATTAGGCACACTTCTGTCTCAACCTCTCGCTCTCTTATCCATGCACTCGCATTCACATACATATTCCCTCTTTAGCTCTCTCTCTCTCTCTCTCTCTCTCTCTCTCTCTCTCTCTCTCTCTCACCCTATCTCTTTTCCTCCCGCTCCCTCTCACCCTCTTTCAGTAGGGGGAGTAGGACGCACTTTGCACGAGTGTTTGCACGTGCTATATGTCAATTCCTATCAATAATCACCATCGCTAGTGTAATTTACGACAATTTTCGATGGCTCACGTGCTAATTTTGGACCAATTAGATAATAATTAATCATCCTGAATGCATATAGAGCAAATAAATTCGAAAAAAATAAGTGAAATTGCATGGTTATAACTAGTCAACTAAAGAATTATTTTTATTAATTTGTAAAAATTAATATTATCTATACATAAATTTAAATCATTTATCTCCTTATCATATTAAAAATGAAAGCATGTATTACAACAACATAAAACTAAATTTTATATTATGTATTAAGCAATTAATGAAGATGACAAACAATCCGTACATTTTTATATATTATCGAAGTTATAAAATATGTATTAAAATTTTAAAATAAAACATTCGATTCATCATACGCCTAACTTTTAATATTTAAGAAAAATATATTCCCTTTATCTCATTTTAATTACAAGGAAAAATTATAATGTTTTATTAATTAATTTTCTTGAGAAAGTTAGTAAATCATTTGTAAGTAAATATAATTATTTCATACTTGTTAATTCAAAGTATATTTTCCACGTAATTATTATATATAAAATTGTTACATAACTAATATTCGGTTAGTTTTCAATGCAAGTAATCTAAAAGATTATTGGACGTTATAAAAAAGTTTAGGGAGTTTGTGGGTTTTACATGATTTTAAGTTGTGTAAAAAACATAGCTACAATGTATCCGCAAAATATGCAAAAGAAATTAGATTGAATCCCTTTCGTTCATTTATTATACTATTCTACATGCAATATTGCACATATAATAAAAAAAAATTATTACAGTGATATAGTTTACGAAAGATTATTTTAAACTTATATTTTTTACTACCATTTTTCTTCATAGATTGTATTTTATAAGTAATACTTCATGTAAGTAGAACATACAACTACGTTTGTAAAATAATAATATGTGAAACAGAATAGATTTCAACAAAAAATATTATCTTTTCTGAAAATAGATCAATATAAAATTTAGTTATTGTAAAAATATATAAATATTATATTTACAGTTTAGTTATATATATATATATATATATATATAATTCCATATTTGAACAAAATTTATGAATTATTAACGGATTCCTTGCGAATATTGTTATCCTAGAAACTTATTTACTTTGAGAGTTACATTTTAACTATATTTCATACATAGACGCGATAGTTTGCTTTTAAATATCAGTTTTTTTATATAGATAGAAAACTATAAGTTTATACATAATCTATTTATTTTCAATAATATTCAAACAATATCAAAATAAATAAAGAAATAATGAACAAAATTAAAGAAAAATTGAATAAAATATACGAATACAATAAAATAAAAAGATTATTAAATTGTTCTAAATAAATATCAACTAAAAGTTAAGGACATTAGAATACCATTCTATTATCAGATACTTTATAACTGTAATTATTATGTATTATTATATTACAATATTTCTTAGTTTACTCTATGTTCACTATAATACCAAATTTGCTGACTTAATCAAATGCATTCGAACTGGCACAAAAAGACATTCGATGGTATCACAGTTTGATAAGACAATTCATTGCTTTATACTTACTCATGAATAATAGGTCCCTGTTAAGAAAATACTTTAAAACTATCTATATGAACTTCAGAGGCAAAAGTTATTTCAAATAAATTTAAAACAGCTTCGTCGCTCATATAAGAATATAATAGATACTATTCTTTTGTGATAACTATTGAATCATGTTTATTATTAACTTTGAAAATTATAAAAAATACTTGAATATAACTATAAGCCGTTATTTAAAATCTTATTTATTACATTACAATAATGTTTTATTCCATTAAATAAAGCAATATTTATCATTTGCCATATTACAAATTAATGAATTACAATTCAAGTTACATCATAGATCATCATATTTGACAGATTTGATTTGTAACGCCTTAATCCGACTTGAAAATAAATTCAATTAAGCAGCAATTGTTATGAAATCGTAGTGGTAATAATGTCAACATTTATATTTTTACAGATTAATATGCAACAATCATTTAATAAGCTATATAAACAATAATTTAATAAAAATACAGTATTTAATATTTCACCCATAAAGAAAAATAGACAAACTTTTTTATTTTACTTTTATTTTATACATTAGGTACGATTTAAGTAGCAGTTTAAAATTCAATTTCTTTTTTTATTTTTAGTTTGTAAACATGAAGTGAAATCCTTAAATTATTAACTAACGTGTCTAAAATTATATAGTTACCCGTGCGTATGTATGTGTGCATCTGTGTGTCTGTATTTGTTATTGATGTTTTAAAAATCTAAGCAGTTCATTAAAATATTTAATAAATTTTTTCATTTGATTTTGTTTTATATAATGAAATGTAAGAGTAATTTATTTTAATGTGACCTTTAATTTAAATTTTAATATTGAAAATAAAATAAATCATTTTTCTTATTTTTCTTTAATATTTAAAAACCTTTTCTCAAGTTATTTGTTATATATTATGTATTTAAATAAAAGTTACCATAAAAAGATTATTTGAAATAAATATATCTTGATATTACTTTTGTGACGTAATTTTATTTTAATTGTTCTTATGTTTAATTGTATGTTGGGATGTTATATGAATTTTCGTATATTAGAGAAATTCAGAGAATAATTCTATCTAGATCGAATTGACACATATTACTAAATTATCTTGTACGTGTTTCTGATATAATATAGATTATAATTCCAGCAAAATACCTTTCAGAGAAAAATTTATAATCGGACATAAAAACAACGTATAAGATAAGAGTTAATCATAGATCGATTCGTAGATTCGTAAAAAAAAAAGAAGAAAGCAAATCGAAAGCACGAAACTATAGATAATTGATTGAATTGGTGAGTGTACTTTTATAAATTTTTTTTGTATCTTAATCATTCGAGTCCTGATTCACTACTTCTATATCTTTTGCTCTAAATGTCCAAAGCCGCAAGTTGGTGAGAAATTTTATCAGGATGTCATTTCGCATCTTCAAGATTCGATCCCACTTTAATGCCTTTCTTGTTCTTCAATGGTACAATAATAATAGGATAATATATAAATTAAAATAAAAGAGAGGATGACAGATAGATCGAAATAATATTTCATGGAGCAACAAATGATATTACGTTACGTGATGCTATCAACAACATGAGTTGTTTATAACATTAGAGTTTATTTTGCTGGTAACTTTGCTATGAATCATTGGAAGCTTCTACATTTTATTTACCGATTTTTTTTAATTAGTATTTTTTTCTCATTTAATTTCAAATATATATGAAGTTATTTTTACTAGATTTAAAAATAAAAATTAAATGAAAATAAAATGTTACAATTACTAAAATGTCTGAACAACCTTGTGTTTTATTATTATTTAGTTTTTGTATCGTTAATTACAATCATTTACGAATTGTTCTGACGTCATTATTTTGACCAGAAAAGGGTCAAATAATAATAATTATTATTGCTATTATGATTTCATGAAGTGTCAATATTTTCAGATAATTGTGTATGTCTAGAAAAAGGAATCCTTTATAAAGGAACGCTTTTCAAACTATAGAATCTTGAATCGCAATAGGAATATTTTTTGCTTAATATGGTTTATAGTATAATATAAGCTATGGTACTTAGATGCATTTTTATGGAATATTTTTATAAAATTAGACATCATCCTTACGTTCAATCCTTTTATGTGACCTTGTTGGGATACGGGAAAAACATGCAGCCACTTGAAATGAAATAATTCAGTTGTATCGTTAAAATAAATTCATACTTACAAAGAAAAAATCCAAGGCAAAAGCATAGCGAAGATAAAATGAATGAATTACTTGGTTAGAGTTCGCACCAATTAATTACCTAGGAACCGTAAGTTTTAAAACGTAACCTCTGGCAAGTAGGTGGCACGTGTCGACCTCTCATCCGCCGGTGCTTCCGGTCAAGGGGAATAAATGCCACGGCACGCGCCCACTGTCGTTCTCTTTTCTTTTCTGAACGTCTGAATAGACTTGTAACGAGCCACGCGCCTGGACCTTTTTTCCGCAAAGGGTGCACACCGGCCCCAAATGCGACTGACAAAGTGTGAGTGCGAGAAGCACGAGGCCGATGGAGAATGGCGGGCTGGGTGGGTCGAAGGGAAAAAAGGAAGGGAGAGAAAGGGATATCATCACGAGGGGCAACATGAACGTGCAAGGATGAAGGTGAGTGTGTAATCGTGTTACTCTCTAGCTGCTTCGGTGAGGGTCGTCCAACGTCGAGTCGAAATCTACGAAGATGTGCGTAAATACTATGATTGTTTCATTCATACGTTTGGCTACACATGTGTAATGAACCCGAGAGCTTGCTACCATTGTTCGAATGACCTTTATTCACTTGCTTTGTAGGAAAGGTAAGTTTCATAAGCTTTTACTCCTGTCGTTTTAATTATTATCACTTAAAAAATCTGAAATCTCTATTCAAAATACTTTGTATCTTTAACGATAATGATATGAGCTAAGAATCTTATGCGTTCTATGTCATGTAGTAGCAAAATTAAATAGCAGAACGTATTGTTATACAATCATTGCAAGAGAATGATTATTTTTCTCTTTATTATTTCTTTAAAGTCTATCTAATCAGATTTATCGATATACCCATAACATATTTTAATCCAAACGACCAGATTAATAACTATTCCATAAGCAGTATTTCAATAATAATACAATGAAAAATTATCGAAATGAGGTGAAATACGAAGTAAATATTTTTTACAAAGAGTACGTATGGAAATTGAAAGAATAATAGACATTTATAATATGTAATATAAAATCAAATTTAATTATTTATATTATTTTTGCTAAGGATAATACGTGAATAAAGAAACGCTGTTTCTGTATAATAATTAATACTAAAGAGAGATTTGTTGCCTTAGCAGTAAGGTCTGAGTCATCAATAACTAGATTACAGTTGTGAAAATATATATATATATTATATATGTGAATGCTCGAGTACACGTAGCTAGCATAAAATTGAGTTATAGGGTAGTTTCTGTTTTATTAGTATGACGCGTAAGCCAGGAAATACCGACAGGTACCGAGAGATTTGATGCGTTTTTGCGGCTGCCGGATTTTTCGATACCAGTTTTATGGAGTGTCAACATGCTTCCATGAAAGAAAGGAAAGGATCTAATAGAAAAACAGAGAAGTGTAAGGGAGTGAAAATCGAATTGACGAAAACCTACAACTGCAGCTCATCGTACATTCAATTAACTGTTATGAAAGTCGATTAAAATGTCATCGATGTTTATATTTACTCTCCTTCGCAATATAACCAACGTCATGTTGTAATATTTGTCGAAGATAAAAGCATTTATATAATAAGTGGTATATTTATGGTAGATTTAATAATTCAACTGTTGATAAAAAAAAAAGAAAAAAAAAAAAAAGAAGTATTTCTTATACAAATATGAGCTAAAAATTTAATTTAGATAATGATAGATTTTAGATTACTGATAATGATTATTTTAGTTTACTGCCCATTTCAATACAGCAATAAATAATAACAATATTATTAAATATTAAATATTCTCTTGGGCAGTGGAAGCACGTTTAATAATTTAAGACGTTTAAGAAATAAGAAATAAGAAATAAGAAATCTCTGCTATCAAGGAGCGAATGCATCCTCTTTTCTGAAATTTTTTTCTCTTGTACAATAATTGACTATATAAGGACTATATAGAGACTGAGTTTTTTAAAAAGATTTACCCTCGTTCTTGTTTGTTTAATTTTTCTTTTACATAGGCGAAGTTGGTGAAAGCAAAACGATAGCAAGGGACAACCGTTAAGAGGATAATGAGGAGATGCGGAGACACATCTCAAGCTCTCTAATAAGGTAGCTTAAAGTAGACGACATGCTAGTCACGTTTCCAGTTGCTGACAGTTGTGGCTTATACATATGACGCGATATCAACCTCAAATTTCTCCCAAACCAAAAGCATTGTGTCACACTACAGTGCTAAGGATTTAAGGAATGTACTCAAATACGACTTGTCACCCTGTCACCCTCTGTCCAGAAGCACTTGTATTTACCCAAGTGCCCGACGGACATTTTTTATTAGCCCCTTTATTTCAATAGATTATTTCGTATTTTCCTAACAACGACGGTGTATTTATATTTATTATGTGGAAATCAAATTTATTCCTCCTACTATGACAAAAATAAACTATTATGATTTATTATAATTCTGTCGTTTCGTAGAACATTCAACAATTAATACAATTATGTAATTAATATAATTGATATAATTAATTAACATTTAATATTTCACAATAGTTACATTTCTAAAATATTATCGAAAATTCGATAATTTACGATAGCTAGTTGAATTTAGTATTGAAATGTAGATAGTTGAAACATGGATTTTTAAAATATTTTACGTTTTCAAATTGAAACATGGAATTATCAAACAATTATTATAAAGCAAATATTATAAAGTATAAAATTCATTAAAAGCCTGCGACTAGCAATAGAACGTTAATTGAATAACTATAGTAAAGTTTGTACATGATAAATTAATACATAATTAAAAAAAAAAATAAAAAATAAAATAAATAAATAAATAAAACAAATAAATGAAGAACAGCATTGTATTTATAATTCTACATATTTGTTGGTTAATAGTAATTGAAATTTAAAGCGCGCATATAAATAATGAAAATATAGGAAGGGAATTAATTTTCGCCAGTACTAAATTTTCAACTGTCAATGTTAATATGTCCTTCCAGCAATAACGAATATTAACGCATTTCTCGGAAGCCGTTAGTGATGTACGAGTTTAAGACAAGTAAGTATAGGCTACAGTTAGCCTCGAAGACAGAATAAGTCCCCGTAAAGAGACCTTGATTTCACCATTTGAGTCATCACCCCTCGCTTTGTAATTATTGATTTTCTGCCCTGGCATAACTCCCCTAACTTTATAGAGAAAGTACAAGACAGAGAGAGAGAGAGAGAGAGAGAGAGAGAGAGAGAGAACGCACAAGCAAGAGAACGGTACAGGGTCTAAAATGCCTTTTGTCCCCCTTTTACAACGCATGGACCTACGAGTTAAAATCCTAGTCTCCACGTGAAATCAATTTAGAAAATCATACCTAAAAATCACAAGCCGAGTAGAATGAATTATTAGATCTTATCGTACGTAAAACCGATGATGAATATATGTTATTTGCTTTGCGATGTCTTAAAAATAATTATTCCAAATGGCCTATTGCTTATTAAATTATCGATTAGCTTTATTCCATTCAATTTTGACGCTTAATTCTTTATTAACGATTAATTATTAATTGAGCTCATGCCGTGACCTAATTTTATCATAAATGCGTAATTTCGTAAATGGAACAGGTGAAATAACGTCGTAGTGAAAGATTTCTTTGTAAACTTACCCCTGCCTAGACTGGAGGGCGACATGGACATGCCTGGTCTGGTACCATCGAATGAACTTGTTCGATCAGTCATTTTAATACCATTTTCCTGATGATTTGTTACCGACGGCACGGAGACATCACTGATCGTAGATGGACTCGTGGTGGTTGCCGTTGCAGTCATCGTTGTTATTACAATACTATTACTTTGAACGTTACCATTACTGCTGACACTAGTCGGCAAGCCGGCATTAGCACCGTTACCGGCATTCCCATTTACTGCGCTCGTCTGCTTGGAAGTGCCATTTCCATTGGTAATGCAATTGTTATTGGCTGGTCTCGTACCAGAATTTTCCGTGCTGCTCACCGCTGCAACGCTAACGACACCCTCCCGGGCGATGTCTTGAATGGCGCTTGCGGCCCGTGAACCAACGCCAGCGGGTTGGAGAATCGTGTATTGCTTGGAGTTGGTGTCGGGACTGCCGATCGGAGCAAGACTCTGAGTCAAGGTATTCTTTACGGCGCCAGTCATTACGTTCGTAGATGGGTCGCTACGTTGTAGCGTCGGTATCGCTTCTTCTTTAGGAGACTTCAACTGCAGAAGAGATACGGTCGTGGTATGCTTTTCATCGACGGTCGGTGATATGCCCGTTACAGGCAGTGGTATTGGCATTGTTGGGCCGGGCGATGGGTAACCAACGAAAGTGGCCGCGGCTGGATATGGCCCCATAGGTGGAATCGACGTCGGAGTTCCAACGACGGACGCTGATACGCTCCGGCAATTAGCCTTCGAGTGATCTGTATTAGGTGGTCGAAAGGCCGATGTTATTGAAAACGATGTGCCTACGGGTGATGTCGAGGATGAATTGATTTTTAATCCGTCAGAGTACGACCTCTGATAGCCACTGTAGACGTTCTGCGCTTGCTGCTGGTGCTTATTGGCGCTCGAGGACGATTCGCTTTTGCATATTCTATCCTTGTCGGAATCATCGTTTTGTGTTTGGTCGTGCTCATGTCGATCAACCGTCGGGTCTGACATATCGATCTCGAGCTCGTTCGACGACTCATCGACGAGCTCGTTAAAGTCGGGTGGCTCATATCGCGAATACTTATCTGTTTGTCGATTTTGATGATCACCGGACCTGTTTTTATAAGCAACTGATCTATTAATCGCTAATCTTTTCGATGCATCATTTTGGCTAAAACTATCTTGACACTGTAATATACCATTTTCGTCTTCCTTCTTCGATTTACCTCCGTTGTGCTGCTTATACGAGTCCATTAATTTGTTTTGTTGTTGATATCTTGTGGTCCGATCTTGTTGACCGCGCAACGTAATTACATCTTTTAGGGAGCATCCAGTCTCGTTACTCGTCGTTGACGATTGCGACATGGACGAAGGTGACATTTTTGAGCCGTCCTTCTTCTCTTCGAATAAGTTCTCAAAGTTTGACTCGTATCTGTCTTCGTCCGAATTACCTCGTTGATAGAACGAGCCCCGTGGACCAGGGACCCAACTACCCGATAAGCTCTTTAATGCAGCCTCTGTCTCCCTTATCAGAGTTTCATCGTCTTCCGGTTCCTCGCAATTATTCTTTCCAGTTTTTCTAGCCGGACTGCCCGAATTAGCTGACGCGAACACCCTCTTCTTCTGCGGCAACGATATATTCTTATTAGCGTCGTTACTACCATCGATTACTGATTTCTGATCGTCGCGTACACTTTTTCTACGTCGCTTGGCCACAGCCTCCGGTGTCTCCATATCAATTGATTGCACACCACCGATTTGAGCTTTTTTAGCGCTTAGCACGACGAGCTGTTGCTGTTGCTGCTTCGGTTTTGAGGCGGCCGACTCTGCTTCCAGCTTGCGCTTTTTGAGATGAGCCATCGCATTCTGGCCACCCGGTACGCTGGTAAGCTCGACCCTGGAACAGAAAAATTCCAGAGGATCGTACAGACGGCTCTCACAACGTCGCGTCGTCCCAGCTGCGAGCATAGCGAAAAGTGGTTGCGACACGCGTATTACAAAGCTTCATAAGATTAAATTTGTTTATTTGTTTTATTTAATTCATGACTTTTGCTTTTAAATAAATGATTGATTACTAATGTAGAAACGTTATCGCTAACAACACCTACGGCTAAGAAAGACTAGACTTGGAAAATGTCCATAATCTAAGTTAATCCCTACGCTAGTAAGCTAATCATTCCATGAGCTATCAATTGCTTAAACCCCCGAAGTCTTGGTTTTTGGAAAAATTCACCTGCATCCAGCACCAAGGTGATCGAAAATCTTTCTTCTCCTGCTCCGGCACGTAACCGTCAGCTTTTATAAAAAAATTCACAATTGCCTTTTCCGCGCCCATCAACATAGTCTATCGTATAACCGCACATTCATCGTAATTCATTATCGAATTTACTATGGTAGCGCTTATCGTTGCGTCATCCAGTCCAGCATGATGATAAAAAACGCAAAATCCTCTGTCGCACGCACACGTCCGCATAAACACCAACACGCACGTTGCCGGCTAATCGCTTAGCACAGCTGAGAGAGAGAGAGAGAGAGAGAGAGAGAGAGAGAGAGAGAGATAGACGGACAATGATAGAGAAATAGTTGCACTGGTAGCGGTGGTAGTGTCGGAGAATCGTGGTACCAGTGGGTAAAAACTACGACCTCTTTTTCGTTCCGAGGCAAAGTTTTCATGAACGTACGCAGCACAGTCAAGCCCTTCTCGACAACGCGCTCAAGAGCTACTGTGTACTATGGCGAAGTGTAACGGCGCTTCAGGGGTGGTTGGTCGACCGTACTAGAGGGAGGCGGGGGTGGCTCAAGCGAAACTTTGCCGAGAAGAGCGCGCGCGCATAGCGGTGGAGGGGAGGTTCCTCTGCGCGGGCAGACGAACTCTGCTTCGCCCGTACCAAAGTGGGGGCGGGTCTCTGCGCACTGTCCACCCCCGATTACACTCTCTCTCTCTCTCACGTCGAGTGAGGACGTACGATATCTACGCTAGTCAGAGGTTTCGCGCCCCTCTTCTACCTCGAAACCTCGTACTCTCCTTCATCCTTGGGGCATATAAGGAGAAGCAGTGGCAGCCGCAAGGAGGAAAGCAGGTTGGCTGTTGCCCCACTGTTCACCCCACTGCTCACCCCACTCCACCCACTCGCTCTCTTCTTTCCCACGGTTCACAGCCCGGAATGCATACACCAGTGCACGGCCACCTAGAAGTATCCCTGCGCTTTATAAAATGCACGTCGCTCTCCTCCCACTACCTCACCCCCTTTCTCTCCTCCGCCATTCGCGACCCCTCACGGGTTTCAACGCGTTCCTCTCTCTCTCGCGCGCGCCCGCTCCCCCCCTCCTCTATCTATCTATCTATCTATCTATCAATCTATCTATCTATCTATCTATCTATCTATCTATCTCTATCTCCTCCATCTCTCTGTCTGTCTGTCTGTCTGTCTGTCTATCTGTTATCTGTTTGTATCACTCTCTCTCTCCCTCTCTCTCTCTCTCTCTCTCTCTCTCTCTCTCTCTCTTTTCCCGGTATCACTACGTCGGTTATACCTCTTTACCTCTTTACAATTTTCTCTCTTTTTATTTCCATCTAAATTTCATATTCACCAGTCATTTTACTTATGATACATGTGCTTGTAGTTGGTGCAGCCACCTACAGTCTTATTGCGGCATTTTTGAAGACTCGTCCATTCTTCTTACACATTTGCCTGCAAATTTTCATTAAATAAACATATTTCAGATACTTAGTTAGACGCCTCTTATATGATTAGTTTGAAAAGAACATTTTACATATGAAACTTTTATTTATTGACTTAATAAAACGATGAAACACATGTAGTCAATAGGATAGTCGACCTTGATTCTGATCGATCCATTGTATACAAACTGAACTACAACGATATTTTTTCAAAGCATCTTACGCATAAATACAAAGATTGTGCTTTGCTGTTTTGTTAACAAAAAAGCCAAAAAAAAAACGAAACAAAAGAATATGAGTATATAGCTAGCTATTTAACATTCACAAATTTTAAGGCTACCGCAAAGAAAATTTTTCTAGATTTTTTGATTTCATAAAAGTTCACCAAAAATTTATGATCCATCCAATTCAAAATATGATCTAATAGGCGAGAATTATTAATCTATCTTTGGTCTACTAAGCGACGGGCAGGTGAAGTAGCTGATAATTGATGAAATGATTCTTACATGGACAGGCTTGGTGCCAGATTAATGACGTTTATCACTTTAGTTCATTCCACTTTATCATTAACTCATTTCAAATCAATTTTGTAACTTAAAATCAGAATTTGATCATCTTCGTCCATACTTCCAGTAGAAAATTTTTTATTATTACTTATTTCAAATAAAATAATAGATTTTTTCTAGAGGTTCATTTTATCATATATTTTATATATTTGTCATATAATTATTCTTAATATAGGTGTCGATTGATTTAACAAATCATTACATTGTAGCAATGATTATAAATATTTAGATTTAATCATTAATTTTAAACGACATTGTGGATATTGTTTTTTACATATTTTTATTAGAATTTTAAAAGTAATATTATATATATATATATATATATATATTAATTTTGTAGGTAATTTTAAAAATAATATTTTATTGTAAAAATTTACATATTTATTTATAAACTTGCAACATATTTAAATACATACACACACACACACACACATATATATATATATATATATAGTATTATTAATTATTAATTATTCATAAACAATAATAATTAATTAACAAAAGAAGACCTTGCGGGATTATTATACAAATAAATTAATACACCTTATTAAAAGTTTAATTTAAAATAATATTATATCAAGAAATAAGATGATTTTATCTTCAATATGTTAATGTTAATTCATACAAAAGGTTTAGCGATTTATAATAAAATTCTACAGTGGCTTGAACGTTAAAATTTGAATTTTCAACTTAACCTCCTAGTTCTATATTCTTCGTTTCAAATTTGAATTTAATCTTAAATTATGTGTATATAAATCTTGACTGACATAAAGTCCAGGTGACAAGTCAAACTAGATAAACTGAGCTTTCATATTCGTGGTAAGTTGATAGGTGAGTGAGCATACTGGGAATATGAGAAATTGGCGAAACAAGGAAGATAGAAAAACAAGAAAAAATGGAAAAAGACATCGAGAAGTAGAGAGAGAGAGAGAGAGAGAGAGAGAGAGAGAGAGAGAGAAGATAAAATATGCAATATTACTTAGTATTTCATGAATTGGCCAACTGCACCCACGTGCATGCCATTCAGTAGCTCAAAAGTGTCAGCAAAAAAGAAAAACCGATATGAGCGGTTTAAATAGATAAATGCAAAATCTTTTCTCAGTCTGCATTGTAGATCAAAAAAGAAAGTGACTATAAAAATCGAAGAAAATGAGAAGTTAAATCGAGGCCATGACTTAAGACATTATCACTTTGCTTAGCACATCGATGCTCATCCTCTCCCTAGTTCCAACATCGGGCTTCTTTCTCTTTTAATCACTTCCTTTCTCTATTATCTATCTCTCCTGGACCTTCTCTCTTCTCTTTCCGAATCGCCAAGAGAGATTCCCTCGAAATGGAGGATCGATGCATCCTAGTCCACCCTCCAATTACGTGCCATCCCTTACAGCCTATGGGGAATAATTAGAAAGCAAGCCTGTGAGAGAGTAGATGACTCTAGAATTTCTACACGACTTGTGTGAACACACGGCCTCCAACCCCTAGATTTTCGCCTCTTCTACCATACAAATCATTTTACGATTTATATTCCATCGTTATGCCACTTTCCAAGTGTATACACACAACCATTCGCACACACGCACGCACACACGCACGCACACACGCAGACGTACGCCCATCTTTTAGAACAACGTAATATCTATAGATTGTATAAGTTAACTACATATATTTTCCACAAAACAAAAATCGAAGAAAATGCAAGTATGTATTATTATTATTCAAATTTCTTAATTATCGTTATATTATTAATATTACTATGCAATTAATTTTACTATTTTTATAATACCGATTATTAATATCAAGATGATTATTAACACTTTCATATATTTCATTATAAATATTTATCCTTTCTTTAGTGTGCAATTTATTGCTGATATTACTATCGCAGCTCTCAATGGTATACATAAATTATTAATTATATTCACACATTTCACACATTTAGTAGAGCAGGTAGAACCTATAGATTATTAAAATTAAACACTGAATAAACACACACCATGTAAGTATATCAATATGTTATTCCGTATTTGTCTGTTCATTATTATTAATAACTTGATTATTGATTATTCTCAGATTTAAAAGTAACTCAATTTTAATAAAAAAATTATAAATATCAGACAATGAATCACAATCGTATTTACAATAGTCTAAGTCACGTTTAATAAAAATTATTATAGTATATAGACTACGTTAAATGTATAGATGCATTAACAAAGCGACTAGAGCCTAGTGACACGGTCTCGTGGTATAATTAGCCGTAACTACACGTGGCGTTTCAGCGTACGACAAAGTTTCGATGGGGGAAAAATCATTATTGCGTTTCGGAGCAAACTACCTTAACAATATTGAAAACTGCGAAACGCATTGATACATTTTATTTGTATTTGTAGTTAATTGAGGTTCAATTTTTTAACATAATTAGCTATTTTAATCCAAGATTTCAGTAAAATTGATGTTATAAAAGTAATAGAGATAAGATTTATATTTAAAATCATTATTACTATTATATTAGATATATATATATATATATATATATATATATATATATATATCATATAGAATATATAGGCATAATGGTGTATTTAAATCAAGACTTACTTTCCTACATCTTGCACCGATAAATTATAATATAAAACTAACGACTCTCTATCT